AACATGAAAAGACGATAGACATTTGATTAGTCTTACTCTTACATCGAAACACTCGGAAATGTTGATATTGGAGTTTCCGGTGCCAATGCCAAACAGTACAGCATGTTGTTTCTAAATTTTGGGGCGTAGTGAATTGCATCATTATGCTCTTTTTTTTTCTCACAGAGGATGCATAACTGACCCTACTATACTGTGCAGTCGACAAAATCAAAACCAAACAACGCGCATGCGCGAAATTAAAAATATAAAATGGAAACAATTTACCCATCGCATGTTGTATGGCTAAGATTCACATTTATCCACTAAACTTATTTGATAATACCTTATGAAAGCCGAAAACGCCCAGAAAACATTAGACAATGTATTTTCGGGTACCTCTTTGTGGGATTATGGCTAGTGAGGTTAGTCTGGTTGACTTTTATGACTGAGTAGCGAGTTCGATCTTTATTGGGTATTTCATACAAAATTCGACATTTAATAACCGTTGTAAATTTAACCAGTTTAACTAATATATTTATTTTCAAACTCCTTTCGGGAATCATAAAAATGATTTGATCTGAAGAAATAATAAATTAAAAGAACTTAAACAATGATCTTCTTTGTATAAATGCAAAATTACAACGCACTTTAAATTCCCACAAGAATTTGATTGATTTACATTATGAATGCAAGCTACTCACAACTTTATAAGATTTTTATCCTGCTTTACTTAGACGTTGTATCGGCACAAAAAAGATCGTACTGTCTTTTAATAGGTGACTTTTTGAATACCTTATTTCGTTTTAGACGTGAAAGTTAAGAAATTTATACATATTTTGAAAGGTGAAATGTTTCCTTGTCTTTCTATACGGTTTGTGTGTGATTGTGAATTTTAAATATTTATATATGGCGGTAATTGAAATACCTTTTCAAGCGTTTGATTCGCTTTGATTTCTGGAAAAGGAAAAACGATGTACAAGCAGTGAAAAAAAGCTGTATGCCATTTATGATTATTGTGTCATAGAGTATTGGTCGTACTTGGTTCAAGAACTTTCTAGCAGGCCTGCAGTCGTTGATGAAGAAACGCTGATTCAAAAATAAACTAAGTCACACAACACCGAACATTGCATATATATTGTACACATCTCTTATGAGCATTGTAAGGTGTTTGAAAACACTTGACTTCATGAATCGTCACAATATTTAGGTGTTACATGATTTAATGGAAAATAATAGACTGCATTTCTATCAACAAAACAACCGGTTTCTTTAAAAGAACAATTGCAGGTGATGTAAAAATGATTGTTTACAACAATATGGAGCGAAAAATGTCATGGAGCAAACGAAATGAGTCACCGTTAACCACTTCAAAAGCTAGTCCGCATGCGAGGAAGTTGTTTCCATGTGTTTTATTGAACTGGAATGGCGTTGTGTATTTCGAGCTCCATTCGCAAAATCAGACGTTAAATTCAGACAAGTACTGTTCCCTATTGAACCAATCAAAGGCATCAGCCGAAGAAACACGCCCGGAATTGGCCAATCTAACGTCTCAATGCAAACCCGATAGAAGTTCGTGCGGGTTGGCTGCGATATCCTTCTACACTCGATGTATTCAACTGACATTGAACCTTTGAATTACTAGATTTCAATCCCTAAAAAATTCTCTTAATGTGAAAAATTCAATTCTTTTGAAGTCTGTAAAAACTATTTAGACTAGTCCAATTCAAGGAGGATAGAATCCTGAGGCGACCTCAAAGATAGTAAAAGGCAGTGGAACATAATATTATATATGTGGTTGAATAAATTTATGCTTTTTTTTTAGATAGCAAGTTCCTTTAGGATGTAGGCTATCTTAATTCTTCACAGGTTTCTTTTATTATTGATACATTACCATGCTTTCTTGGGAAAGATAGTGGAGTGTTTTTGCCTTGTCCCCAGTTTTGAATTTAAATTTTTTTTCTCTTAGACTGGTTGTCACCCAATCCTGGAGAGACCAGTCTACTATGCTGTTTAATCCATAGTAAATATATGTACTAATATTTAAATATTGTCTTTGAAATTTACTTAAAATCACTACGAACCTTTGTTCCGACCCAATATAATTTTAGAAACAGCTTAAAGAGATGTAAGTGTTCGCGTTAGTATTATATGTATAAAGACTCTCAACTTGTTGAAAGATTTACCCCGAGTTGTGTCTAAACACAAGCCATGGAACGTGAGTGTGACTGGTTCGTCAAGGATCATTGCAAGTTGTACTTTGGTACACGTGATTGCCTCGTATGCTTCTGGGAGCGTAGTTTATCGTCACAAAGTATTCTATGAAAGCTGGAAAAGAAGGAATAAAGAAAAAAAGAAAAAGAAAGAAAGGAGATAGAAGATAAGGCTAATGTTATTGGTAGGAAAATCGAAAGAAGAACGAAAACTTTTGCAAGGAGGAAAGAAAGAAACTAAAAGGCTAGGGAAACACACACACAAGAAGAAAGACACAGAGAAAGAGAGTTAAACAAACTGACAGAGAAAGGGATGTGAGAAAATAGCTTTATTAGTCGAAAATAAATTTAGAAAAATGAAAGTAAAATAATGAGAAAAAGAATGAAGAAAGAGAAATAAAGAAAAGAGAGAAAGTCAAGACATAGAAAGTTTAAAGACAGAAAAAGGGAAAATGAAATAATAAGTGAAGAACAAACGAATGAAAATGAGAATGAAAATAAAATAAAAATTATTTAAAAGGAAGAAAGACAGAAAAGAGCAATAAAAAGTAAAAAGAAAGAGAAAGAAAGAAATAAAAGGAGAAAACAAAAACAAAAAAAGAAAGTACAGAACAAAATTAGAGAGAAAAAGATGAAAAATACGAAAAAAGAAGAGAGAAATCGAAAATAAAAAGAAAGAAGGTGAAGAAAAAAGTACAAAATCAGAAAAGAGAATCGGAGGAAAGACGAAGATAATAAATAAGAAACGAAAAGATAAAATGAATGAAGTAAAGCAAAGAAAAAATAAGAAAACAAGGAAAATAAAAGTTTATCAAAAAAAAAAAAAAAAAAGAAAGAAAAAAAGGAAACCAGGAAAGACTGCAAACCAATGATCTTTGATGAAATAACTAAATCAGGAATCGGTGACATTTGCTGGAGTATCCATGCGCATGTGAAAGTGAACTGTGCACTATTGTCGCAGTTCTGTTTTTAATTATCATGAACAATAATCGTTAGTAGAAAGAGGAACTATGCGATGAAGAGCTGTCTCAGCTGCTCGCATATCTGGCAACATGAATCTGGACACATAGTGCAAACTCTAGCAGCACAGAGATCGTTTGTATTCCGAAGATACAAGACACCACATTCTATCCTTGATTTGAAGGGGATGCTGAGAGATTCTCGGCCTGGTTAACTTGCAAAATTAATATTTTGAAGCTTGGTTATTTGAATACTTATTTTGGGAAGTGGGGTGATTCAATTCGAGAACTTTTCAGCACCGTTTCTTCTTTCTTTGAATATTTATTGTGACTCACATTTACCTCTGACATTAAGTAGAACTCATATATACAATCCTTCGCTAATGATCCTAGAAAAATGGTCAGCTCCTCGTACCGCTCCAGAAAGTACACTATTATGTTTTATCTTTACAAGTTTCATTTCCGAAATGGACTATTGCTGCCATATTTGGGCTGTAGCGGCACAATTCTCACTTTCCAGCTTTGACAGAGTCCAAAGTCGTTTATCTGGCCTTATTGAAGTTTACTTATTTTCCACCCTGCAGCCACTTTCCCCACAGATGCAATGTTGCAATCCTATCGCTACTCATTCACTATTTCCATGGCAAATGTTTTGACGAGCTCCATCCTTTAGTGCCAGTAGTTCAAACCTTTACAGCTAAAACCCATCTTGCTACGTACGCAGAATTGAATTCCCCGCATTCCTTCCGTATTCGAATTATAAAAAAGAAGCAACCGAGAAAGTTTCCTCTCAAGATCCACTATTTTTTCGAAGCAGACACCCGCGTAGAGGCTTCCCTCCAACATTACAATCTTAACCTCTTCAAGTCTAGAGTCTGACGTTCTCTTTCCTCCATATCCTCATGATCTTCACCTCCTCCTCTTACCTTCATATCATATAACTCATTCAATTACCTCGAGTGGCACTTGAGGCTTGTATTGGATGGACATGAATAAAAATGCCAAAAGAGTAGTGATTATATTTTATATCTATAGTATTCTCAGCATCTTTCTGTAGAACCACATTTGTCTCTTCTTCATCTATGAGGAGTTTGTCTAGAATCTTTTACCCTAGAAGACCGACATTGTATTACAGTTCTTATTTGTTTTAACGAAACTTTACTGTTTTTTTAATACTTTGTTTTAGTTAATCTATTGATTTTGTGAGCTGTTTTATTTCTACATATGAAACAGCCATAATCCCACCCGAAAAGGTCACATTATATTCGTCTTTTAACATTTTAATCTGTGAGGCAGTTTTTTTTAATCATTTCATCCCAAGCAAGGCAATAAAGCCACTAGGACGCAAGGGGGTTACTGAGTGTTAAAGAATCCGAGAAAAACTACTATTAAAGAGAGAGTACAATAAAAGAACAAGAATTAAGAAAACAGAAGATAACGATTGATATTATATTTAGATTTTTGAATATCAAAGTCGACTGGAAAGCAAGAAGCCAGAAGAGAATTCCACAAGCGAGAAGTGCGACAGAGGTAACTGTTAGCATAGGAGTTGCGGTTAGGTCTAGCCATTTCAACTGTAAAATGATAAAACCTTGCCGCCAATCTAGTACTGCGTTTTCTTTCAGTAGCCACTTTACTTCAATCAGATGCACCATCGATAGTAGCAAGGTATTCGTCGGCGAAAAGAACTTTTGAAAGATTGGTTTTAATGCATTCTGTTGCCAATGTCATTTTCCTTAGAGATGTCTTTTAAAGGAAGCCTAATATTCAGTCCCATATGTTGGTGTAAACATTTCACAGATATTTTACTACTTTTCTCTTGATACAATACACTGATTAAAGAAGGGCTTAAGGCCACATCTCGTTGAAACACCGGTTCCCGTACGATCATCGAAGTTAAGCAACGTCGAATCTGGTCAGTACCTAGATGGTTGTCTGTTTGAGAATACTGGGTGATGTACTGTTGTTGTAGTAATGGATAATGGTTCGAAATTCTTAATCGTGAAGCCAAATTCCAATACTTGTGTTCGTTATATTCACTTACGCGCAAATACTCTTGGGAAAGTAATGAATCCACCTCTTCTCCCCCAGCTATGGATTAATTAGTAAGACTTGCGTCACTAAACTCTTATTACCACCACTTGTATCACAAAACTCTTATTACCAACATACTCACAAAACTTCTTACAACCTAAAATAATTTTCTGGCTTTGAATATCCTGAAAAGGCTTGATAAGCCGTAGCGAACGAATCAATCAATCAAACTCATTGATGAGATGAATTCTTCTTCAAAGTTCGGTGAAACCTGATGATAATTTTTGCTATTTCTACATTTGTTTTACATTTTGTGAGATCTGAATTTATGAAACATTTCTTTTTATCCGTCAAAGCCTAACCCTGGCGACCCATTTTAAAGCTTCAAACTCGCTATGTGTCTATTAATGCGAGACTTTGAAATTAGAAATTTGTTATAAATAGTTACCGTTTGTTTACATCTGTGCCAAAAAGTTTGTTTTCATCCTATCTGCGCAAATAAATATTACCGTCATTCACCAAATAGACATTTAGATCCCAATTATTATTTACTTTCTAAAACATGAAGTGGGTCATAATATGGCGTACAGGTTATTATCTTCAGTAGAACGATGGATAGTGAACATGTCTACGCTAATATTAATGAGTTCTACCCTTACTGAGTCAGTATCTTCTATCGTAGCACTGTGTTAGATCAGGCTAAGCTAAATAAAGATCTGACACATGCCTATTATAAAGTTGCAAACCAAACATAGGCTTATATATATATATATAAAGACATTTTTGTTTATACATTCTTTTTATAGATACAAATATTTAAGTAAATGCTCTGTTTTTATAATAAACAGTATTAATAACATTTTCCGGTCTGAATGTCCGAGAATAGGATATAGGTTCGATTCCTGTCGGAGGACGAATATTTTCTATGAAAATTTCTCGGATATTCAGGCCGGTAAATGTTATTAATACTGTTTATTATAAAACATAGTATTTACTTAAATATTTGTATTTATAAAAAGAATGTATAAACGTAAAAATGTCTTAAAAATAATTGCCGGACTTTGTCTATTTCATAATGTGTGACGTCATTTGTTTACATTTGGATACGCTTTGAGCAGATATGAATGTACGTGAGAGATTCATGGAAGATTGAGGTTTAAAAACTGTAAAATCGACCTTGCTAATCGAACGATCCTCCGTGGCTCGATCGGTTAAATCACGTCAGGATACAGGTTCGATTCCTGTCGGAGAACGAATATTTTCTGTGAAAATTTCTCGAACGTTCAGACCGTTTACTTAAATATTTGTATCTATAAAAAGAATTGCATTTTAACAGATATGTTTACCAAAATTATACAAAAATATCTTGAAACACTAAAGAAGAAATGTATTCAATAAAATCGCCATTGTTTTCAACCACGGCCTCCAGACGAATTCGGAAACACCTGCATCTCTTCTGGACGGTCTCCTTGTTTAAGTTGATGTATGCTGCCATAATCCTTGTCTTCAGTTCATCTTTGGTGTTACAAGGAGTTTTGTTGGTCTCTCGCTTAACTGCGTCTCACACATAATTGTCAAGGGAGTAGTAAGGTGACTTGATGTAAGGGGTAATGTGGTTGCAGAATGTGTCTGACAGCCATGACTGGGTACTCTTGCTTGGTGCTGAGTCCTCTTGCCAGACATTGGGACTTCCAGCGGCCACCATTTGAACTAGGGCAGCAATATCTTCACAAAGTACTTGATGCAGGCCTCCGTGTTGAGTCTGATGCCCTGTTGGAGGATGAATGGAGGCATAACGTCGCCATCATCATCAGTGATCACTCCAAACACCTTCATAATCACCATTTGACTATATATATATACAGGATGTCTCCCAAAATATACTAACTAATAACTTCTTTATATTATTTTTCGGTCCATTTAATTTAAACTGTTAATCTTCTTTGTAAATCAATAAACATTAATATTTCTTAATTTTCACCATTAATCTTTTTTCAGGTCAATAAACACTGCATTTGTTGTTATTTAAAGTATGAGTACATTTTTTGGATATATATATATATATATATATATATATATATATATATATATATATATATATATGTTATAGAGTAGTTTCACAGTGGAGGCTTGTATTTCACTAAGTCGGCCCTAAAAAGGTTCGACGTACAAAACGTTAGGAACTTGATATAAAAGTTAATGACGCAGCAATTTACTTGTGGTGGCTGACTTTAATGTCCGACATCGACTGACTGACCAACTCACTGAGAGTATTTAGTCACCCCCACCCACCACGAGGGCATCATGTGGCACAAGGCCGGTTTAACGTGGGATCTCCGAGCCCGTGGGCTCGGCCAAAAATATGCCCTTTGAAGCCGTATAAACGGGTTCAGGGTCGGTTTACCTCTCCGAAAGAGACTCCATCCTTCGGCGTAGCCTTGTTCGGGTTCCTCCCCGCCCAAAGGCAGAGAGTTCAACCGGTCAGCTGGTCGTCCGACTTCAGACTGAACTCAGACCAACTCGCTGCTACTACTCCTACTTATTATAGGTGTGAGAGTCTATTAATAATAGAATAGGTATGTTCCAGTATAACAATATATATATGTAATGATAATGAGAAGTGGACACATTAGATTGGTATTGGGGAGGAAAGGTGAAAGAGAAGGGATGGATAAAGAGAGGGCTAAGGGATTAATGGTTAGTATATATATATATATATATATATATATATATATATATATATATATAGGATTCTTCGATTAATGCAATACACACTAATCGAAAATGCATTAATCGAATATAAACAAAATTGACAAACAAAAAAGCTATCCATTTTCCATTTTTAAATTTTAGAAAATTTTTAATTAATCTGTAACTATAAAAATCAATTTTCAATTACTAAGCTTAGAGTGAAGAATCTTTTACCACACTAATCGAATATTATGCACTAATCAAATTTTGGTCTAAAATATTTCTGCGCACTAATCGAAAACTCATTAATTAAATTAATATATATATATATATATATATATATATATATATATATATATATATATATATATATATTTATATATACTGAGTATTATGCAAGTTTGTGAAATTAGAACATTGTACGTGCATGCCTGACGATTGTGTTCAGCATGAAACAGACTTTCGCTTCCGGTTTTTGACTTCAATGTCCAATTTTATATTTACATACGCTCTATCGCTAATACTGAGCACTTTAACTTATAAGTATAGCATATGTTAAAAGTATGTTTTAGCACGCACACGGACACACATACACACAAACATATATATTGCCGTAGACGCCTGTTATAGAGCAATGATTTAATTTACAACCTAGACATGTTGAACATTTGTCAGTGTAATGATTTTCCATTTTTGTGCTTCAAATTAATCTCTTATTCTCTCTCTCTCTCTCTCTCTCTCTATATATATATATATATATATATATATATATATAAGGTCAGTCAGGAAAGAAGCTAACTATTTAATATTGATGAAAAATAAATAGCTTCAAACAATTTGACAAGTCTTCTATTGGAATTGCCACCAGCTACTTTGTCGGCTTCTCCTTAATCTCATCCACGGTCTGAAATGTCTTCCCATTTAGTGGCGATGCTCAGAATTCACACAGAGATAAATCTTGTTAGGGAAGACTGAAGGACCTGCGTGATTGCTCATTGTAAATACAATTGTATATATAGCCACTCATTGTCGTCTCATTGACACAGAATAGTGTTCGTTCATATATGCGCGGCAAGGTTCCTTCTGATTAGTCACCAGAATTATATCAAGGCTGCGCAACTAGGTTTTCGTATCTTTGTCGCTTGCGTTTATTTCTGACTAGGTGTTTTTTGAATATCGTCTTAGATCCGATGAATATCTCAGACTCTCATTTCTTTGGGTTGGAAGCAGGCTCATGCGATGACAGGGTAAATTTTGTTGATGACGCTCGAGATGATGACAATGCTAATGCTGTCGATTTCTATGACGCAGTTGCTAATGTCGATCAACGTGTAAAACAGGTCGAGTAATCAAGTCGGTGTTAATAGTGTTTTAGTTTCCTTCGTTTTTTTTTGTTTTGTTTTCGTTTTTTTTTTTTGTTTTGTATTCAAGCCGTCGAAACATTTCATTTGTTGAAACGGTCGGCTAATGATTGATGATGTTGGAGAGCGAAGAAGTTAGGTCAGGGTCTTACAGCGTCCGCGGCTGTCACGTGACTTGGACTGTTCCCGATACCCCAAGCAGGGTAGGGCCAGGCCACTCCTGTATTTCGCTGAGCGATGAGCGAATCGTGAAAGTTGATAACTGTTAATCGCTTGACTTGCCCGTATCATAAACTTAACTTTACGATTAAAAAAAATACAGATCCTATTTTTTTTTTTATTCTTTAAAAAAAATAGAATAAACCCAAAACGAAAAAGCTTGGAATAATAATAATAAAAAAAAGAATTGTCAGATATAAATTATTAGTTTATTTGGCTGACAATTACCTGTGACAAAAAAAAAAGTGTCTAAGGAACAACTGCTATGTATTTTCTCAACATATTACTTAAATTTTTTTTTTATTAAGCATAGGTTAGTGCTGCACAAGACTACAAAATTGGGATATTCTATGAGACTTGTTCAGCTATCAGAGAAGCTTTCCTACTGTGTGACTGCAAATAATCCAACTCAATTGTTTTATGCCTTCACTCTTCCACCCATCTGGTTTTTACCGGGGTAGATATAAATAAAATCAGCTGAAGTTACCCCCAGGCAATGTCTCTCCTTCGGGAGGTTCTGGGGCCATTACCTGGCACCTGCGGCGTTGCCAAAAGGGGGAAGTGCTGAGGGTGCCGAAAGCCCACATTAAATTTCGACCTCGTGTCACATCCTGTTGCGACTTGGGTGCACGGATGAATACCTCCACCTATTGTA